GCCTGAAATATATCTACGGCACATTCTCTAAAATGCCAAAGTCAATCGAAAAGCCCGAGTATATCAAAAAGGCATTAGGTCTCAATCGTGATGCTCCAGTTCCAGTTTCATATATGGATAAGGTTGAACAACTTGCAGGAAGCCTTGCACTTAATATTGTAGGGGATTCCACTCGAATTTCTAAGAGCAAATCTGACAGACGTGCAACACTTATTCTGTCTGAAGGCCACTACTCTCTTGCACTGAATCCCAGAAGACTCCACCCTAGCAAATTAGATAGAAAACAAAAGTCTCCCTTTGTTTATCGTGAAGATGGGGTTAATAATGTAGTAACAATATACAATGGTAAAACAGTTAAGTCTCTTACAGTTGGACAGTTTCAGAAAGGTAAGAACTCTGATAGTTACTCCTTCATCCCTATCGAGAAGAATTGTAAAACTGGAATATAGTCGTCGTGCTGGTAGTGTGCCTCGCTACGCTCACCCCACCTCGGCCTCACAGGCCTCGCAGTACCTACATCTTCCCTCCGTGGGGCGGGGAATCCCTATATATCTGAAACAATATGAAACAAGATCTGAAACATAACAATATAAGCAAAAAAGGATAAAATAAGGGAAAAGAGAGGAAAATAAGAGAGAATCAGAGAGGGTGTTTCGATGTTTCAGATGTTTTGGCAATTTTGGTAAAAGTCAGGTGAGGACAACCCTCCCAGAAAAAGTTTTGATTTTACCCCCCCAGATCCGAAACTTCTGAAACATCTGAAACTGATTCAGGATTCCGTTCGTTTTCTTATTGGAGGCAGTGAGATAGCAAACCAAGTTAACAGGTAGGTTAATAGCCCTTAGAAGGTCTGTAGAACCACAGGAGGATAACCGGGTAGGAGCGCGGATCTTTGGAAAAAATACATTCAGCAATTGAAGATTAGGTAACTATAAGTAACATAATATGATAAACTTACACGCAGCCACTTCTCTTGCCGAAGACCTCGGGCTTGATCTTGTAGACATCTATGGAATCTGTAAATGGATCCAAATGCAGGCTTCGCCCCTCAATGACCCGGACATAGTAAGAGAGATGGTCAGAAACCTTCCGGTTAAAGAATTCGGAGAGCATCTCAAGATTAACAGACTCTGGTACAACTGTTGTAAAGCCGAATTGTGGAAGCGATATAAAGAAGCCGAAGAGGTATACAAACAGGCAGTAGACTACTACAGGGAGGCCATTGACAATTTCAATGAAGCCGATCAGAAAAAATACACTAGGTTCGCAGGAATGGTGGCAGTAGAAAGAGCCCTCCTCAGATGTGGCTTTATAACGCAAGAGTCCAACTGGGAGAAATGGACTTAAATAACGTACAACATCCAATTGCTTAAGGAAGGCCGCACTCTTGATGACTCGGACGATGAATCAGATGATGGAGAGGTATCTCTCGATGACTC